TTAATGAGTAAATGAGGAAACTGAAAAGCCAGTTTCCTCTGCAATCCATCAACTCTCTGGAGCCCCTCAACCTGCCTGGTTGAGAATCCAGGGTTTTCAGCTTTATTTTGGCCGTGGCAGGACACCGCACTGCCACATATCCCCCCCCTTTGTTTTGACCCCGTAGGGGGCGGAACACACAAACCTAAAACCCTTGCTTTAGGCCTTCTGTGCGGGCTATCACCTGTAGAGGTCCAATCCTGGCTGACTTCGTTTTCATCAAAGGGAAACACTACTCCCTGCCCCAAGAGGTGACTTCCCCTGTCTCCCCTTACTTGGGCTCTACTACTTCCCCATGCCTTTTTACGAGTGCGCTTCCAAAAGCGCGGTCTTTCTAATTTCCTTAAGACTGTGCTAGTCCTTTTACCACTAGGGGGTTTACAAGTCTCAGTACCCTTTGTAACCTGGGGTTGACTCCTAAGCTTTAAATGCCTGGTACCTGTAACATTACAACGTGCTCCCTCAAATTCCTCTAGACCATCCCTTTTTGCTTTATTTAATTTTGATGGGGTTATATTTTTAGACCCTTTAGTAATAGAGGTGGGCTCTTTTATTTGGGAATCAAACACTTTTAACGTCCCCTTGTTAAGCTTTGGGCCAGTTCCCTTAGACCTTTCATTCTTACAACTTGGGCGTTTACTGGACCTTTGGAAAACTTTTCCAGAGTGTCCTTCCTGAACCTGTAGGGGGCCTATTGCTAGACTCTTAACCTCTCTTGTGCCTGTTAAGCACTCATTACCTCTTTCAGGACGACCAGCTACCATGTCAACCTGACCACCTGGTCTACTATTCTTTTTGTTATCACCCACAGTAATCAGACAATCCAAATTCATCAATACATTTCCCTTTTTATCATTATCAAAAATAGTCTTGTCAGAGCTCATTTCACTAGTAATTGGCAGGGCAGTGTCTGGAGAGGAATTACCCACAGTGAAGTAGGCATCTCCCATGGAAACGTCACTATCCACCGACTTCACTGTCACAAAAGACTCTGCCAGCAACTGTCCTGATGCCAAACCATCCTTACATAATTCTACATTTGGGTAGACGACCCCAACCACATCACATATACATGTGTCTTCCGGCACTTCTGCCCAAACCTCTGTTCTGTCCAACAGTACTCTGGTGTGCCTCTCATACAGATTACTGCTATGAAGCAACCCAGCCATGCACTGAAAGACAATTTTCACCATTACCAACAAGGATGGTATCACAGAATCCCTATATTGACCATCTTTGTTTTGTATAGCCTGTAATACCAAGCTCCGATTAGCGGGACTCCACTGTACAGCTCTCCCGAACATGGAAGAGACAGCATGGTATACACCGGCTGTACACTCCAGAAGGCTAACATTTCCTTCAGCAGGTCTGTTATCAATAGACAGCCTGATTCCACACATAAGACTTTCCTGGAGACATGGAGACCCTCATTTACTGATGCCTCAGAGGTGGTGCTTCTTAAAGAGGCTTCCTCTCGGCTGGAGGTACCCAATACAATAACCTGGGGCTCTCCCAGAGCGTAACCAGGTGTGGGATTCACCCAAATACTCTGAGGCTCAGTGTCAATGAGCTCTTCCATGGCTTCTCTATGGATATCAGTTTGGTATACCACACCATTAACTCCTTTATGGGCTGTGGGCAAAACTTCTGCTGAGCGTTTATCCTTAACGGTGCCTTTTACCAGCGGTGGGTTATTTTTGGCAGCGACAGGAGCGCCCTGGACTAATAGCTGCTCCACAGTCCCTCTATTCAGCACAGCAGAAACCATGTCCACCCCATTGTTACCCACAGAGGCATCTTTTATTATTGCCAACAAGCTTGTTGCCCATCTGTCCCAGTCCATTGTCCCTGTGATCCCATCAGAGGTACTACGCAGTACCACTCCAGCCGCTGAAGGAGACACAGAGGGACAGAGTGGCTCTGTATCAGATCCATTACCTATATCTTCATTATCCATATCACAATGGGAGACTCCTTTTCTAGGCACAGCCGGTTGCAATTTCTTACTCTCACCACCGTGCACTAGGTGCTTGCCATTCACTACAAAAACTTTTGCATTAGTGGATTGCATTAACCCATCATCATTATGAATACGTTCATACCTTTTAGATTCACCATTGCCAGACTGAAATAACAAATTCTCAACACTCACTTCAGATACACTCTGGTCCACCAGAGCAACATCATAGTTATCCTGGGTTACCTTAATTACCGTTGCTAGGGGAGAGAACACATCCTGCTTAGTGGTCACCCCTACTAAATTTAATTCAGCATTCTGTTTATATGACATGGTGCAACCCCAATATCAGTACTCTTCACATCGACATTTTTAACCGTTGCCTCCCCACTAAAAGCATTATACAGAGGCAAGTCTTTCTTACAATCACCAGCAGTGGGTTTCCCAACTGGGAGTATCCCAAATTTATAGCAGAGAGTCTCAAAGTCAGTCTCAATCAGTGCATTAGTATCTCTCACATTTATCTCAAAAGTACCAGTCTTACCCACCACTGTAACAGGCTTCACCTTCTTCACTTGAGTGCGTGGGATCTGGATCCTTTCTGTCATCTCTCCTCTGCTTGGCTTTGGCCAGCCAGTTCATCCATTAGGCTAAAGAATGATACTGTGGCAGGCACTTCTGACTCCTTGGCACCCCTTGCAGGCACAACAGGTACTTCACTGTTGCTAGAGGTGGCTGCCAACATTTTTAAACATGAATCTGGGCTTGCAGATGAAGACTTTTGCCCAGTAGCACCCTCATCAGTGGTGTTCCTTAATCTGGGGCAGGTAAAGATACCATGCCCAAACTGACCACATTCCAGGCAGGGTATGGTTCCACAGATAACCTTCTTGGGATACGGAACAACATCTCCCTTGTAGCCCCTTCTCCTGGTTGGCAGGCTTTCTCCTGTTGCTATGGGAGATGGCACTCTCCCAGCTGAACTTTGTGGGTTCCTCCAGATGCGCTGAACTCTCATCTCTGCGTTGCCACAATCCTCTGCAGACGACACTTCTCTCACAGGGTCCGCAGGTCTGAAGTCACATGTGTTGCTATGGGCAACCACATTCTTCTGAAACTTTTGGGCAGCCTGCTGCTCTTTCCTGGAATTCCAAGCAGGCTTCCCAATTGCATACCCAGACCTTTGTCTGGTTGTGTCACCTTGCACTGGAAGCTGGGATAAAGGGCACTTGGAGACAGTGTGCCCCCATTCACTGCACCGCAAACAGCGCTCTTGCGGCAGTATCTTGGCCGAACTTCCAACACTGCATCCTCTTTCAGACTTAATACTCTGCACACAGAAAACTGGTTTCCTTTCAGCAGCATTGCCAGGGACAACAGCGTGCACTTCCCACTGTGGCAAACTTTGTGCAGCCATGTATGGGGCTTGTTCTGGTGGTAACAACCCCTCCAGCCACAGGGCTCTGTCTCTCATTTCAGAAAATCTTGCTTCTTTTTTTGAGTTTTGACCGCCCCATCTTTGCAGTCACTCCACAACACTTTTGCACAGTCCAGGTACACAATGGAGCACTGTCTCTTTAAGGCAAGTTCCTTTTCTCTTGCAGGATCTCCTCACCTGCACACACAGATAGTGCAGAGTCATGCACCAAACACAGTTCAACACATGAACTTACTTCATTGCTGGGATCTCTAGTTCTGCCCGCATCCTCCACCATATGTGGGAACTCGCTTCAAGTGGTAGAGCTCTTCTTCAAAACACACAGCAACTCGCATCTGTTTAGGGCCTTTTTGCCCAATTTTATTTACAAGAAAGTTCAAATAAACAAGAATGCTTCCCACGCAGGGGTATCCATCATCAAGCAAATTAATAGTATTCAGCCTCCTGGCTTGCACGCAGTTTTAAGTCTGCCTCCTGCAGACTCTTCCCAAAATATGGCACCAGCACACAGCTAGTCTGGCTTCCACCTGACTCCAAGGCAGAGACCTCCCGTCTGCTGGGGTGGAGCCCTCCTGACTCCGTTTGCCAGGGTGGAGCCCGAACCATGGCTAGGCCTCTATAAAAAGGCCTGCACACACCTGTGCAATCAGTGTGCTGGGGGTTCTCAAAACACGGACCCCGGATTGGAGATTTCATCCCTCCCAGATCTCTTTGAAATCTCCAGGCTCCAGATCCCAAAACAGACTTAATGAGTAAATGAGGAAACTGAAAAGCCAGTTTCCTCTGCAATCCATCAACTCTCTGGAGCCCCTCAACCTGCCTGGTTGAGAATCCAGGGTTTTCAGCTTTATTTTGGCCGTGGCAGGACACCGCACTGCCACAATATATATACACACATACATACATACTGATGGGAGTCGGACGTTTTTAGAACTCGTAGTACACGGTAAGTGGTGATGGGAGGGGGATGAGCTGGGCATCTTTCCCCCCCACCGGAATGCCAATTCAGTCACAATGGAGCAGTTTACATTACAACATCTTTTGTTTGCTTACAACATCTTCAAAGTGGTGAGTCTATCAGAGCAAGGTCGTGGCTATTTCGGCAAGATGGTGCCACAGCGTGTACTGCCAAGGCACCAATGGAAGTTCTTCAAAACATGTTCCCAGGGTGCCTCATTTCACGTTTTGGCGATGTGCCATGGCCCCCCAAAGTCTCCTGATTTGTCATGTGATTTCTTCCTATGGGGGTACCTGAAGAGCTGTGTGTACACTCATAAACCCCGTAATTTGAATGAACTGAAGGATGCCATCTGACAAGAAGTGCTCACGCTGGATCAACAGTTGGCCCCAGTGATGGACAATTTCGAGCGAAGGATTGAAAGCTGCATCAAGAGGATGGTCATTATCTAAGTGACATTATTTTTCATAACTGAATAAGTAACTTCTGTTTTTATAAAAATAAATACATTTCAAGTTGAAAATCTACAGTGTATTCCCGTTGGTCACCCTGTATATATATATTGTATATATTATAAACCGTATACATCAGGGGCGGACTGACAACTCATGGGGCCCCCGGGCAATAGGGGATCATGGGGCCCCTGTATCCTTGCCCAAACTCAAAAAAGCTTATGAAAGAGGTACCAGGGGCATCTCATGGGGCCCCCTACTGACCCGAGTTTTCCAATTGGTCAGTCCGCCCCTGGTATACATATATAAAGATCCCAACACTAACGGATAAACCGATAGGAAAACAAGTCACTACATAATCCTCCCAGATTGAATACCAGCAGTTGCTTCTTTGTGTGTATGCAAACGTTCCGGACTACAAAGGTTTTTGTTCTTGTGTAAAATGCAAAGGAGAATGCAGTCTGAAGTTAGAAATAACATTGTTCTTCTTTTACGACTCTGCCCAACTGGATTTATGCGTCCCCATAGATGGGTAGAAATTTGAACAAAAATTCTTAGGAAAAGAATATTCTAAGAAAGTTTGTTCGTTTTTCTAATTATTAGTAGGTCAGATTTGAATAGCCACCATGGCTTTATCACCTTCGATCTTTTGGCTAAGATCAAGTGTAGTATCTGTTCTTATCAGTGTCCAGTAGGAGTTCTCCGCCCGTCATTCTTGCCTTTTGGTGAGGGTGGCTGGCTGTATAGTAGCCCTGCTGGTATGATAGAGGCTCTGAAGGCTAGTACCAGCTGGAAGAGAAACCAAGACGCCCAAAGGCTGTTGGATCCCAGGAGTAATTTCCCCGGGGAAAACTGGAGGGGCCCAGTTCCTCTTGATTTGAATGGGTCTTCCTTGTCTTGCAAGGGGCCAGAGAGGCGGAGAGTCCGCAGAGCAGTGCCCCCTGGGAGTAGTCGCTTGAGGGGTGCTCTTAGTAACACATGGGGATGGGATCCCACGTGTGAAAAGTGCACATGGTCACTGTACTAAAAACTTTTTCTGCACTGCGTCTTTTAAGTCCATGGCAATTTTTTGCTACAGGCCTCAGGGCCTAGCCAGTGCACAATTAGACGGTCACTTATTTATTTTATTTATTTTTCTCCTGACGATTGTCTCACTTTCACTTGTGTGTGTGTTTTTTTTTTCTTACTGGATGGAGGGTGTCGGTCCTCGGGTCTACCCTGAAGTCTAGGGGGAGGATGTGTGGCCTTCAGGTTCCCTCCTCCCCTGATCCTTGGGGGGGGTCTCTCTACAGGAGAGTGGAGTGGAGTGGAGAGCTGAAAGGGCAGCATGTTCTTTTGAGAAACAGCAGACTGACTGGCCAGATCATCAGGTGAAAATAAAGGAAATAAAGCCTAAAAAAAAAAAAAAAATTGAACACAGCCACCACATCTGAAAAATTGGTGGAGGAATCCCTGGACTCTAGACGGCGTTGGACCCTTCTGGTGAGCCTATGATGACCCCCATGAGTGAGTGACACCATCCCTGAGAGTCGATCGCGGCCCTAGATGACGCCATTCTAATGACTAGATCTGGATGTCTATGTGGAGTATTTACATACAACGCCTAGTTTGTATGTACTTCTGGTAAGTGCATCACTATACAGTTATCTCACGGAACAGCTAGGAGTCTGCAACACTGTGTATCCTACAATTTGGAACTTATGATGTTCACAGGACGTTTGTTATATTAGTCTATAAAAAGAACTGACATATGAAATGGACATATCATTTATGGTTCTTATTGTAAATTTTGAAATCTAGCGCTGCATTTCTTTTGATTTATATTTACTACTGAGGTGATGAGGTATACCTTTTATGCTAGCAGCTTCGCAACATTATATCTGGGTTGTAATACTGTATAAGGTTGGACCTGTATCTTTTTGCGCTCGTTCATTTATATTTACCTCAACCAAGTACTTGGTGGTCAGCTTCGGTAGATCACAAGGAAAGGGGTCTGCCAGGCCTTTTGGCTAGGTGGACCATGTTGGAAACCTTTGTTCCTGTCAGGAACCTTGCCCCCCGGGGGGATCAGGGCAGAGGTCCTTCCCCTTCGGGGGGTGGACTAAAAGCACACCCCTAAGTGCACTTTCTTGTGCTGGTGTTTTTGCACTTGCACCTTTTTTGTACACTTATCAAGTTTTTGCGCACCTCTGCGGATTTAAAAAAAAAATTTAGTAGGTCAAATTAATGTCCACTTTTGACTGCAGCTACTAGAAAACTTTGCAGGAGACAGTTCTCAAAAAAATAATTATTAACAGTGTCTGTGATTTTCCACTCATTTCAAAATGAAATGTTAAAATGAAGCAAAATTTTTCAAAAGACATTTGAATGTTCTGAGAATTTTTGTACAGTTTCCTAAGACTTTTCCTAAGAATGTTTTACATCTATGGAAAACTTTAGAGTTTTCAGCCTTAGTTACAATGCATCACTTGTTTATAAATTTGGATACTTCCAAAAAAAAGGTTCTGTTTTATAAAGTGTTTCATGTTTTGTTATTATTTTACATTTTTTTTATGCACGTTAACCTGCATTGCATTAAAGCGGAGTTCCAACTGAAAAAAAAAATGTAAGTCAGCAGCTACAAAACTGTAGTTGCTGACTTTTAAAATACAGCCACTTACCTATCCCTTGGTCCAGCTGTGTCCTCACCATGGCTGGTTTCACACCAGCCGTCTTCTCTCTCTGGCGCCGGCATCTTTAGTATGTGCACCCGGCTGTGACAGCTTGCGGCTTCACAGCCAGGCACCAACTGCGCATGCGCGAGAAGCGCTGCACTTTGTGAATGACCCCGTAGTCTTCTGGGACCTGTCACATGTCCCAGAAGACTACGGGGAGGGTGGGGGAGGACAACTTCCTGCTTCTGATCACCTAGGCGATCGCAGTGGGAGTGGGTACATGTCAGATTTATGTACCCGCTCCCCAAAGGTGGCAATCCTTAATAGGGAGCAGGGGGCAAAGGCTTAACCTTCCTAGCGGTATTCCTGAGTGTAGCTCGGGGTAAAATGTCAGTGCCAAAAGCGGTAACCCCGAACTACACTCGGGCTTACCATGCTTACCTTGTCCTGCGCTCCTGCGATGTGTCCCCTGCAGTGTCCCCGGCCATCTCCTCCGGCCGATGTCGGCATCTGGCTTCTGTGTTCCAGTCCCTGTGACGCCGGACGTACGGCGCGCCGCCGGCGGCGGGAAATTTGAAAATTTTAAAAAATTTCATTTTTTTAAAAAAAAATTTTACATAGCAAAGCATTGCTGTTTCAACCCATTTCACATACATTTTATCCCGAGTGCTTTGTCCAGCGCCCTGCCTGCATTTTGACTGTTCTTTCTGCCTGGAAACTGAGAAACGTCCATGGTGTATAAAAAGTGTCCCTTTAGGTCAAAAGCGGGTTTAGATCAGCTAGAGAACAGCGATAGTAAATCAGAACCACTTGCAGAATTGAGTGATAATGATTCGTGGGGGAAATTCGTCATCAGACACTGAAAACGATTTTGCGACTTTGCTCAGCAATGTGCAAACTTGGCGCTCTATTTCAAATTTCAGTGTTTTTTGGTTTGATTATATTATTGAATTAAGTTTATTATTTTTTATGATTATTTATTAAATTATAATTTATGATTTTGTGTTTCAAATTTTATCCTACCTGGGATGTTTACTAGACTCTGTTTGGACAGATTTCAGTGAGTTATTCCTAAAAATTACAGCCTACAATAAAAAAAACTACATATTTCCATGCAGAAAAATGTACCGCTTTCAGCACAAAAAATCGGAAATAATCAGACCGCCGAGGAGGTTAAAGTGGAACTTCCCCACTTGGGTGGAGCTCCGCTTTAAGTCTGCCTATTCAAATGAATGAAGCTTGCAACATACCAAAGCATCTCATTGTCCTTATGAAGATTCTCTACATTGATCAAGAAGCTGCAGTCATGACAGAAAATGGAAACATAGACTGGCTCAAGATCAGCAAAGGAGTCAGACAAGGCTGCATATTCTCACCATACTAATACTGGCCATAGATGGATCGAAATGTCACCGGTTCAGCAGGGAACAGATGAATTTTGATCCATCTATGGCCATTCCCACACAGCAGAAGTAGATGTTACAATTGACATCTAAAAGAAAAAATACTAGGTACAATTGATCCATCAGTACCACATCCCAAATTGTATATGCTATAAAAATAGAAAAGGAGTAAGTGGGACTTTATCAGTGCTACACACTACACAATCTTATATATATATAAAAAATAAAATTTTAATATACAATTATGTTACAAAATGGGGAATCCCCATAAAAGTGTGTATTGGGTATTAGTAGTAAACTGTCAATGCAGCAACTCCATACACCCTCCTTCATTAATATGTAACTATTATAGATAAATATAAAATATTAATAGAGCACAGGATAGATTAATAAAGTAGGAAGGTGCTGTATCCCAACGTGTTTTTCAGGTTAAGCTTCAGGGGTTCACAGGGTGCAGCACTACTGATGGAGACCCAAGGCAGAGATGGCTGTGGAGGAGGACAGCATGATTGGAAAAGTGGAGGGGCATCCAGGTGGGCCCAGCCGGAGAATGTGGGGGCAATGTATGAGAGGAAAGGGAAGACCTCAACCTCAGAATACACAATCTCCTACAGATTTCTTCCTTAATACATGAAATTAGTCCACAAAATCAGTATGATGATATTAAAGGACACAGCCAGACACTTCCATGGCAGACTTCTGATGATAACTTCTCATTCCAACATGTGTAAGGACAACACAGCATGTGCTGTGTTGTCTGTACACATGATGGAACCATAATTCCTATTTTGTGGACTAGGCGAGCCTTTCTCAACTAGGATGCCCAGGCACCTTGGAGTGCCTTGAGGACTCTTCAGGGGTGCCTTGGCAAAATGTCTAAAAATTGCCCAAAACTTGTATACAAGCCTGCCTTTCAGTTACAAAAAGCCACAGGTTTTCATTGTGCACCATTACAGCCTTCTAGCTGCCAGCGTCCTGACCAGGGGCAGACTGACCATTTGGAAACTCGGGCATTGCCCAAGGGCCTGGGGTCAGGCCCCTGGTACCTTTTTCATAGGCGTTTTTGAGTTTGGGCAAGGACACAGGGGCCCCATGATCCCCTATTGCCCGGGGGCCCCATGAGTTGTCAGTCCGCCCCTGGTCCTGACAACTAATGACATCATCAGTTGATAAGGAGGATGTCAGCTGCTTGCACAGCCTCCTAGTTTGACCCTCCCGGCCCCTCTTCATCAGTGCTGGGGTCACATTAGCTCAGTGATGGAGAAAAACTGAGGGAGAGAAGAAATAATGGGATACTACTCAGTACCAGTGTGCCAATGTGTATTTGCTTTGAAAGAATAAATCACTTCTAAGATTGGGTGTCCTACATGTGTGGATGTTGCTGCGTTATATAAACATTTTCACATTTAGAATGGGGTGCCCCTTTAAAATATTGGACAGTCTTGAGGCACCCCATTTTAGAAGACTTTCCATCATTTTAAAGGGTGCCTTGGGACTGCCCATAATTTTTAAGGGTGCCTTGACTGAAATAAGGTTGAGAAACACTGGACTAGACGAGTGGATCAGAGCAACTCCAAAACTGCAGCTCTTGTGGGATTTCTGGACTGAAGTGGTCAGGACCGACCAAAAGAAGGAACCAGCAAACAGGGTCATAGGTGGGTAAAGCTCACTCATGCGTGTGGGGAGGGAAGGTTGGCCAGTGACATCCAATAAAAGTCCTAATGTAATTCAAGTTGCTTAAAAAGTTGATGCTGGTTCTGATAGAAAAGTGTCAGAATGCACAGATTGTTGTATATGTGGCGGTGTAGTTACAGAGCAGCTAGGGTGCCCATGCTGACCCATGTCCACAGGAAAACGTGCCTACAATGGGCATGTGAGCATCAGAACTGGACCACTGAGCAATGGAAGAAAAGTGGCCTGGTCTTATGAATCATGTGGATGGCCCGAGGTGCATATGTGTCCCTTACTTGGGGAAAAGATGGCACCAGGATGCAGTATGGGAAGAAATCAAGTCAGTGGAGGCTGTGTGATGTTTTGGACAATGTTCTGCTGGAGAACCTTGGGTTCTACCATTTATGTGGATGTTACTTTGGTGTCCATGTCTTGATGAGTTAGGGTTGTTTTGGCGGCAAAAGGGGGACCTAGTCAATGTTAGGTGGGTGGTTATAATGTTACGGCTAATTGGTGTAAATCAGAGAGGGGTACAGAAGAGGCTTTTCAGGCTCATACATGTAATATCAGGCATTTTGTTGTGCCTGCTCGGGAATAGGACTATTTTTTATTTAACCTCCCTGGCGGTATTCCCGAGTGTAGCTCGGGGTAAAGTATCAGCACCACAAGCCGTAACCCCGAGCTACACTCGGAATACACTGCAGCATTGCTCTGGGATCTCTTCTTCACTTACCTTGTCCTTCGCTCCCGCGATGTCCCCCCTGCAGCGTCCCTGACAATGTCCTCCGGCCGATGCCGGCATTCATCTTCCGGGTTCCGTTCCCTGCGACGTCAGGACGTACGGGGGACGGAAAGGCGGGAAATTTGAAAATTGTAAAAGTGCCATTCCCTAAATACACTAAAATCACATAGTATAACATTCCTGTATCAAAGCATTTCACATACATTGTGTTCCGAGTGCTGCATTTTGTCTGTTCTTTCTGCCTGGAAACTGAGAAACGTCCATGGCGTCCAAAAAGCGTCCCTTTAGGTCAAAAGCGGTTTTAGACCGGCTAGAGAACAGCGATAGTAAATCAGAACCACTTGCAGAATTGAGTGATAATGATTCGTGGGGGAAATTTGTGTATCAGACACTGAAAACGATTCTGCGACTTTGCTCAGTGATGTGTGAACTTGGCGCTATATTTCAAATTTCAGTGTTTTTGGTTTGATTATATTATTGAATTAAATTTAGTATTATTATATTATTGTATGTTTTATGATTATTTATTAAATTATAATTTATGATTTTCGTGTTTCAAATTTTAACATACCCGGGATGTTTACTAGACTCTTGTTCGGACAGATTTCAGTGAGTTATTCCTAAGAATTACAGGCCTACAATAAAAAAACAACATATTTCCATGCAAAAAAAATGTACCACTTTGAGCACAGAAATATGGACATAATCAGACCGCTAGGGAGGTTAAAGCCTAAACAGAATACATAATTTTTTTAACGACTTCACAGTTTAACCAATGGTATAATGCCATGGCAGAATATCTTGCTATGCAATGAAATATTATACAGCAAAATACTGGTAAGGAAGCAGCTGTTGTAGACCATGTATAGCAGGGGCAAACTGACAACTCATGGGGCCCCCCGGGTAATAGGAGATCATAGGGCCCCTGTGTCCTTGCCCAAACTCAAAAAAACCCTATGAAAAAGGTACCAGGGGCATCTCATGGGGCCCCCTACTGACCCTGGGCCCTGAGGCAGTGCCCGAGTTTCAGTTTCCAAATGGTCAGTCCGCCCCTGATGTATAGTGTCCTCCATGTTGTTTATTGTAATCATATAGCATGCACTGTCTGCAAAAATCTGTAATAATTTCAGCATGCCATCACAAACATTGTGACGTCTGTAGCTAGGTGGAGGAGATTGTGTTGCTCAGCAGTTTACAAATCTGTTTTTAATGCAAATACGCAGAGTCTCTTGAATTTGCATAATTTGCATAGCTTTGCATGGCTCTTATACTGACTCAATAATTCCTAGTAAATACACGGGAATTATTACCCTGCCTTTGTTAACCCTTTCACTGAAAAATGAGCACAGGTTAGAAGTACAATAACCACTGGGCAACCGAACTATAGCCATATGCAAGGGCGGACTGACAACTCATGGGGCCCCCGGGCAATAGGGGATCATGGGGCCCCTGTGTCCTTGCCCAAACTCAAAAAAGCCTATGAAAAAGGTACCAGCATCTCATGGGGCCCCCTACTGACCCCGGGCCCTCGGGCAGTGCCCGAGTCTCCAAATGGTCAGTCCGCCCCTGGCCCCTGGCCATGTGACTACTACAGCGCGGTTGTCCAGTTCTGGGAGGGCGTCGTATGGCATCTTCCCAGAACGCGCCCCTTCCCATACCGCATCCTGGTGCCATCTTTTACCACGTGATCAGCTGTGTCCTAGGACGTAGGTTCACTTCCATCATCCTCTACTACATTGCAGAGGTCCCGTACAACGAGTGGTGTTTTCCGGACACAGCGGGCACCGGATCGCTCCCAGGGAGTGCGCACAAGCAGGGAGCAGGGAGGACGTTTCATATCTTCAACATTTGTTTTGTATATTGGTTGGTCCGGTTGGATTTAAAAAAAAATTTGCATTCTTTCTGGAAGATTTCTATTCAATATATTATCAAATTGGATGGATTTGATATTTTCGAATGCTAGTCCAACCCACCAAGAGAAATGAGCTGTTTGGACAATATCGACTGGCGTCATGCGCATCCTAGTTAATGATTGGAATGGAATTCAGATCCATTCTTTATCAGAATCTGAATTATTGAACAAATTCAAAAATTTAATTAATTTCCCCATGTTCCCGAACCACTATCGCATCATGTGACGGCATCTGAATGAAATAAATGCATTTGTTAATTTTGTTACAACTTTTTTTCAGATTCGTTTATATTTGTTCCATTCGGAGATTCAAATACATCTGAATCTCTGAAACCGAAATTTTAGTCTGAAAAACTAATCGAAATGAAATGCTCCACATGGGACTGGAAGCTAGCGGAGATTACTATAGAAATGGTGTCTACTACAGTGCTTTCCAGCTTCAGTGGGGATCCCACAGGTACACAGACACTATATTGCCAAAAGTATTGGGCCAGCTCTCCAAATCATGTGATTCAGGTGTTCCAGTCCCCTCCATGGCCACAGGTGTTAAAAGAATCAAGCCCCTAGGCATGCAGACTGATTCTACAAACATTGGTGAAAGAATGGGTCGCTCTCAGGAGCTCAGTGACTCCAAGCGTGGTCCCGTGATAGGTTGTCACCTGTGCAATAAGTCCATCCGTGACATTTCCTGGCTACTAAATATTCCACGCTCAACTTTTAGTGGTGTTATAACAAAGTGGGAGCAACTGGGAACAACAGCCACTCAGCCACCAAGTGGTAGGCCACGTCACATGACAGAGCGGGGTCAGCGCATGCTGAAGCGCACAGTGCGCAGAAGTCACCAACTGTCTGCAGAGTCAATAGCTAAAGACCTCCAAACTTGGTGTGGCCTTCAGATGAGCCCAACAACAGTGCGTAGAGAGCTTCATGGAATGGGTTTCCATGGCCGAGCAGCTGCATTCAAGCCTTACATCGCCAAGTGCAATGCAAAGTGTCAGATGCAGTGGTGTAAAGCACGCCGCCACTGGACTCTAGAGCAGTGGAGACGTGTTCTCTGGAGTGACTAATCACACTTCTCTGTCTGGCAATCTGATGGACATGTCTGGGTTTGGCGGTTGCCAGGAGAACAGTTCTTATCTGACTGCATTGTGCCAAGTGTAAAGTTTGGTGGAGGGGGGATTATGGTGTTGGGTTGTTTTTCAGGGGTTGGGCTTGGCCCCCTAGTTCCAGTGAAGGGAACTCTTAAGGCGACAGCATACTAAGATATTTTGGACAATTTCATGCTCCCAACATTGTGGGAACAGATTTGGGATGGACCCTTCCTGTTCCAACATGACTGCGCACCAGTGCACAAAGCAAGGTCCATAAAGACATGGATGAGGGCGTTTAGGGTGGAGGAACTTGACTGGCCTGCACAGAGTCCTGACCTCAACCCCATAGAACACCTTTGGGATGAATTAGAGCGGAGACTGTGAGCCAGGCCTCCTCCCCCGACATCAGTGCCTGACCTGACAAATGTGCTTCTGGAAGAATGGTCCAACCTTCCCATAGACACCCTCCTAAACCTTGTGGACGGCCTTCCCAGAAGAGTTGAAGCTGTTATAGCTGCAAAGGGCGGGGCCAACCCAATATTGAACCCTACGGACTAAGACTGGGATGTCATTAAAGTTCATGTGCGTGTAGAGGCAGGTGTCCCAATACTTTTGGCAATATAGTATACGCACTTACATGGGTCCAAGGTGGACCAATGTAACTACTGTATGTGAAAATTGCCTTACATGGAATTATTCTTAAAGATAAATCTCTCTTTAGTGACTTGTTGGGGGGTTTATCAGTCTGTTGAAGGGCAGGATCTTTATCAGGGTCCAGACAGAAAGGTGTGCATACCCTTGCCAGTTATTGTGAAAGATAAAAGAAATACCGTATTGACCAGGGGCAGACTGACCATTTGGAAACTCGGGCACTGCCCGAGGGCCTGGGGTCAGTAGGGGGCCCTATGAGATGCCCCTGGTACCTTTTTCATAGGCTTTTTTGAGTTTGGGCAAGGAAACAGGGGCCCCATGATCCCCTATTGCCCGGGGGGCCCCATGAGTTGTTAGTCTGCCCCTGGTATTGACTGAGCTATAACTAATAATAATAAATATTATATAATTGAGTTATTATGTCCTTCCTATCAGTCAGGGCAAGTTAAACACTGAATGGAAGAACCTGGAGATCCAACCAACTGTAGCAATGACCCACCTTATTATTTGCATGAACGGCTCTGTCTCTGAGCTTTTTGTTGTGGAAGTTCCCCATTCAGGTATTTGCTCATGGTTACACATTTGCATACTGTTTAAATCTGATATCTTTCTGCCACACAAATGAAAGCACTTAACCTGAGCCCTACTTTGCAAAGTCAATGGCTCTGCCCAAGTTAAAAATTGCACTGAACTAGAATTCAGCTCTTTGTTTTTTGACATCAACATCTCCTCCCAATAAAACAAGAAAGGCTGCTGTCAGTCATTCCAGATCCCGGGAAGCCTTCCCCATCTGGATTTCCATACTGGAAAAAAAAAAAGGGAGAACGCTTCCTATGGAGGACCCTGGAGAGACAGGAATTTGTTGGGAGGGTCTGTACTATATTGTGCTACCAGATTCTAAAGCTCTAAAGCTGCATTCATATCCAGCATGTGCTAGATGTGCTTTTTTTTTTGCAAGATAAGCATAAGGCAGCCTCTTCATTTGAATGGACTGCCCTACGAGCGACAAATGCACTAAAAGAAGCTCCTGCACCTTTTTTAGACATAGAGCTTGGCATGTTTTAGCACATTTATATACATTTTAACCTCCCTAGCGGTCTGATTATGTCCATATTTCTGTGCGGAAAGCGGTAAATTTTTTTTGCTTGGAAATATGTATTTTTTTTATTGTAGGCCTGTAATTTTTAGGAATAACTCACTGAAATCTGTCCGAACAAGAGTCTAGTAAACATCCTGGGTATGATAAAACTTGAAACACGAAATCATAAATTATAATTTAATAAATAATCATAAAAAATAATAATAATAAATTTAAGAATAATAAAGTGCAGCGCTAAAAATGAATGAAATGCAGCAAAATTATGATAGGATAAAATATAAGTCAATCAGATGAAACAGGTAGCATCCACGGTGCTCTCTAGAAAGATGAAAAATTCCAGAGCCTAATGCCTCAAATAGTAGCAATGCGCACTCACCAGAAACGCATGGATTATGCGCATGTAGGAATGATCCTCCTAGATATTGAATCTGCCATGAGCCTGGTGGTGGGCATCCATCTAAGGGTTGGTCATCAGGTTTGGGTATAATGAAAGCGCCAAAGCTCCAGCTCAGGTCCAGAGATCCCCTTAAGGTCGGTCGGGTAAACCACTTGAATGATAATACTCCCTCCTCTGGATAGTAAAGGCACCTTCTCTGTGGGGGTAATAGCTCCACATAGGAGCCCCAAAAACAGGTGCCAGAGATAGTGTAATATGTTCCCAAATAATGTTTATTAATAAATAATAAAACAGGGCAGTATGCATATATACATCAGCATGTCAGTATAAAAAAATGCACTACTGACCCTTTTAAAGATGGCCGCCGGGCCTCCTCGTGGCTCCGGCGGCAGAATGACGTCACGCTCTGCACAGCTCCTCCTTAGGCCTTTCGTGCTACAGGCACATCATCAGAGAGGAGGCTGTACCATAAATAAATAAATAAATACATTTAATTCAATAATATAATCAAACCAAAAACACTGAAATGTGAAATAGAGCGCCAAGTTCGCACATCGCTGAGCAAAGTCGCAGAATCGTTTTCGCTATCTGATGACAAATTTCCCCACGAATCATTATCACTCAATTCTGCAAGTGGTTCTGATTTACTATCGTTGTTCTCTAGCCGGTCTAAAACCGCTTTTGACCTAAAGGGACGCTTTTTGATGCCATGGACGTTTCTCAGTTTCCAGGCAGAAAGAACAGTAAAAATGCAGGCAGGGCGCCGGACAAAGCACTCGGGACAAAATGTATGTGAAATGCTTTGAAACAGCAATGTTATACTGTGTCATATTCGTTTATTAGAAAATGACAGTTTCTAACATTTTTAAATTTGCCGCTGGTTCTGGCCCCCGTACGTCCTGACGTTGCAGGGACCAGAACACAGAAGCCGGATGCCGGCATCGGCCGAAGGAGATGGCCGGGGATGCTGCAGGGGACGGATCGCGGGAGCGAAGGACAAGGAAGGTAAGTGCTGCAGGGAATCCCTGAGCAACACCGCATGGTAAGCCCGAGTGCAGCTCGGGGTTACCGCTTTTGGTACTAAAATTTTACCCCGAGCTACACTCGGGAATACCGCCAAGGA